TTACATATTGTATCTTAGCGGCATTTCTGAGAAGTTGATTTTTCTTTTTCTAACGCAGATCAAAAAAGTAATCCCAGGTATTATTCACTTTTTTGTGCAAATTTATGCTCCTTCCCACTTTTTCTTGTTTGTTATAAAAGCTTTTTCATAACAGTTTTGTGCTGTTTTGATTTTTTTTAATAAGGCAGGAGATTTTGTGTGTTTTGAGTTTAATTATTTTTTTTTTCTTGTCTTTTATCTTTGCCTTTTTGAGTATGTTTAGGGAAGGCTTATCATTCTGGTCATTTATCCACGAGAGAGGCGTCATATTTGCGATTCGAACGGGGGGGGGTTGTATTTGGAGCTCTGGAGGGATTCGTAGTGGTATGAGGATAATACGTTGAGTCTGTCTTCTGGAAGGAAGACGTTTTCTTGAGGAGAAAAAACTCAGTAAAAATGAATGAAATTGATGAAAGCTTGTAGAAGTTGCCTTCATGCCTTCTTGGCGCACCGGAATTTGGGGAGTTGATGAAAATCTGTAAAGATTACTCCCGCTTTCTCGGCGCACTCGAGATTTTGGTGATCCTGGAGTTTTTGGGTGTTCCAAGCTATAGCGGGTTCAACGACTCTCCATCGACTGTTGGGGAGGGGAAGAGGTTGTGTAGGGACCCCTTCGAAGGGGATCGTTCAAGATCCTCTTCAATGTGACCAGTTACTCGAACTAAGTGCAGCGAGGAACAGTGGTGTTGATAAGAGTTGGGGACCGTATCCCACAGTGTAGGGCTGCGCTACTCATGCGTTTTCAGGATTGTCGAAAATTTCAGATTACTTATGGTTATCTTACGAGGCAAAATCTGAATAAATAACTTAATAAATAAAAAAATTGGGGACTTGTAACTTAGAAATTGAAGCTTTATTCCTGAAACCCATTTGCTAAGCACAGAAAAGGACCGTCTGAATGTGGTACTATGTGCACGGAAGGGATTCACCAGCGCCCTGTGCAGGCTCTCATTTTTTCGAATTTCCAAAATATTCCTGTCACAGGCTTTCACGCATACACTAATGTAAAATATGTTTTCAGCTGTGGAAAATCGTCTGTGAACAAGCGATCCTCGCCACTGGAATTGGTTTTGGAGCTTTATCACAATGGGATCATATAATCGGAGATCAAACAATCTTGTTGGGTGAGTTATTGGAAACTTTTCTGAATTCCTAATCTTCCTTTCTCTTTTTGCTCTTCCAATTAATGCCATGATTTTTCACAAGTTGTACGTACCTACTTGCACATTTTTCATCCTTCCTTTTTTACAAGAAATTTGTAAAACACAATTTTGATAGAAACGAGAATATACGTCGAAAAACATCCCGCGATATCCTTTCATATTTACGCCATTCGATTGTGGTGTTCCGTTCGTAAACCGAAGATCTTTCAGCGATTCTATCCTAATTGTTCTTGGACACGCGTTCTTGACGATAATGCAGGTGATTACTGTGGTCGGATTGGTCGGATTCGTGGTCTCAAAGACGGGCTTAGCGCCTTTTGATGTCATGGACAAAGGTCAGAATTAGCCTTGCCTGAAAAAGAGTCGAACTATTATAGCAGATAATTTGTCCACCGGACCACCCGAGGAGGGGCTTATTTAATATACAATCAAAAGTTTTTTAAAAAAAAATTAAATAAGGGGGCCCGCCAGTCGACGAGCAGCAGGAAGTTGGCTCCGACTCTCCTCGTCGTAACGATAGAGTTGAAGCCTCGAGCGCTTGATGTCTACTAGGTTTTCTACCATAGCTATTATTGATGTGCCAATATGAGATAGTCCATCTTCAGGCGAGGCACTCCCTGTGGCATGTTCTTGCCTATTTCTCTCGTACCTGCCAAATGTGAAGTTGTGGAGCGGACTGTTGTTGTTTGCCTCCATATGTATTCTACTTAATATATTTGTAAGTTTTCTTTGAGCTCATCCATTGTACTTCCTTGGGTGAGTGGGAGTGGTGCAGGAACAAGTTGCCATCAGCTGGCAACTTCTACCTGGATCGAATTCCCAGACCACCATCTCATTCTTCACACCGGTGTCGATTAATCACTAGTGTATTTGCATGAAAGGGCAGGAGAAGGATTCGAGACGGTTGCTCTGCACTCCACATTCGTGAAACTGACTAAGGATCTTCGCGCTCATACTTCCCTTGTTGTTGTGGTTCTATCCAAAAAAAAAACTGGAAGTGGCTTAATGGCAACGCTTGTCACTTCAGATCAAATCCTGGGGCGGATCTCGCCCACACCACCCAGCTATCATTTGCCCAAGGGTCGGGTTTATGCCATGGCTCCTGTTAGTGTTTCCGAATAGGTTCTACCCACCGGCTCCGAGTCGTAGTGTTACCAATACGAGCGGTTGCTGCGGGATATCAAAGGAGTACAGTGGCTTTGGGGTAGTTTCATCCTGCTCACCACCATCGTTCTATTAAAATTCCGGTTCAACGACTACTGATCGATCGGTGATCTCGACCAATTACAGTACCTCCTGTCGTTGTCTGTGCTAGCAACTCTCGAAGACGCGCTCGGTGACCGCTGGTCACGATGTTTTCCGCGTTTCGTGCTAGCACTGTTCGTCTGCTGCCTCAGCTTTGCCATCTCGCTGTACTTCGCTACACAGGCAAGCCATTATGTCTCTTACAGTACTTTCGTTCAAACATCTTTTGTTTTTTTGGCTTTCCAAAATGCTCATCCTTGAGTTTAGGCTGGACGCCATGCGTATGAGCTGGTAACCGGGTTCTTGAAGTACGTCACAATCTTCGTCATCCTCACATTCGAACTATTCGCGACTGCTTGGTTCTACTGTGAGTTGTTCAAAAGCCGTTTTGGTGAAGCTGGCGTTGGGGGGGGGTGACTCCGTCCTGCTCTCCAATACCAAAGATGAGGATAAGGACGCGTAATCGACTCGTTTCAATTATTCTTCTGATAAGTGCTGGTGTAGTGTAGAAGTACTGTGAGGTGCTTTCACACTTCTTCAAATGGTCCAAAGAAACCGCCCTAAACCAGGAAATGGACATATTTGCCAAGGCCTGAAGGAGGAGCTCTTAGGTGGATGACCAGGTGCAAAAAATCGGATAGGATGGGGGACAGGGATTCAGGATAGTGGGCACTCACCGGTCTCTGTTAGATGTAATGCCTGCTGGATGTACCAGTACACTTTAGATGGGTCGCTTGTGTGTTATCCTATTCATATTGTTGGGGAGCTCAAAGGAGTGCTCTGAGTATAAGATAGCAGAAGTGCCCCCGGGCGGCTTAACTGCCACATTTCTGGTGGCTAGCCGTACTGAAACCTTATTTAGCTCCATTCTTTGCCTTCTGATTCATTTGTTGGAGACTTTCATGGGAGTTAAATAATTGATCAGTGATTAACACTAGTGACTTTACCTTTGCTCCTAGAGAGGACTTGTGAGATTTGAAAGTTACGACTCTGAGCCACGACGCTCCAAAATGAATATCATATTCGCGATCAACCTAATAAGCTATTCCTGTTTCTTCGAAATTACAGTAACCTTCGTCCCATTGAAGTCGTGGTATTTGCAAAGTAGGAGGACACGTGGTAGCGATATTTCCTGTTGTTCAGTCTTTCACGGATTTGAGATATTCAATTTCCATAATCCAACCTTTCAACCATTTCGACCGCCGTGCCCATTAATTTTTTGAAATAAGCAACTATTGGTAATGATTGCATTGTTATTTGGACCCGATGTTGCATACGTACTCCTTTGGTAGAAGGAAAAATTCTAAACTGATTCTAAACTGAGCAAAAGCAAAAGAAAAGCGACTCTTTGAAGCAAAAGCCAAAGGTGTGGCCCACCGGCGGGCACTTTTCAATAGGGGAATGCAAAAAACAACGGTGTTGATCAAGATATCTGTTCAGGTGCGCATCGACTTGGAATGGACCTTCATGTGATGCTGAGGAACGCTTGCTGTTGGTGCTTCGGTCATTTCATTCTGTTCTTCACGTACCTCCTGCCAATAATACCAGCAGTATGTTCTGTAGTTGTACTTGTTCATAAGAAACCGCTTGTGCTCATTTTCTGTACTCTTTTTTTTTAGCTTCTTTTACTTCTTTTTGGTTTTTCTAGCGCTGATGCAGTTAGGAGGGGGTATCGTTGTGCTGGCGAGGGGAGCAAACGTCAGAGAAAATAAGATTTCCTTACACACTCCTTCCCTAGCCTCCCAAGGATTAATCCTATTACAGGATATTACGGGAGGGGGTGTTGGGTATATGGGTCTTTGCATGATACCCCCCTGAATTATCCCAACGCCTTTTCTGTGCTTTAAAGAGGCTCACCAATTGCCTTTTAGTTCGGTCATAATTGACACCATGTTTTTCCTCCTCAATTCAGAATACCTTGTTTTGAAAACCTTTTTCTTTTTGATTTTTTTTATCTTCCTGTTGTTTTTTTTTAATATCAAGATGTCATTGCACTTACCTTTTATTGATTAAGGCGGTAGCGTTGCTGAACCTTCACGACTACGACTTCTCCATATTTTCCTTGCCCATTCACTCGTGGCCATATTCGGAATGGGTTGGAGCTGCGGTCGCTCTGGGACCACTCCTACCGATCCCCCTTGTGTTATTCTTCACAATACTGGGCGCATGTTGTTGTCGCGGAAAACAAGGATATACTCGAGGACAGGTAAATTGCATTGTGCTCACAATATTTTTTAACGTTTTTTCGTCATTTTCGTATTTTTTTGGCGTTATGCCTTCATTTTGATCAGTTGAAGGCATCCGGTCTTCCGGTCGAGATGATAATGTAATGGGGGACAAGAAATAAAGCCTCTAGATTTTCTGATAGTTAGAACTGAGCTGTAAGATTTCTCAAAAATTCTTGTTACTCACAAATAACCTGATTCAGAGAAATTACTGAATCTCCCAGAAGTTTTCTTTCCTTCCTCACTCGAAACCTCTCATTTTCGGGTACCCAAGCGTTCAAAACTGTATGCCAGAAATCTACATCTTCCTACTGTCTTATTTCTGTGGACATCGAATTGTGATACCGTTGACGACACT